TTATCATCAACGCAATGCAAATTATACTGTATCTGCGATTCCAAGAGAATAGTGTTTTCTCATTTTTTTTCTTTTTTTTCGCCTCTGTTAACGATAAGTGTAATTTCCGCGATGCGGAATCACAGAAACTCGATCTGGTTTTTCATTCTTGCTTTTTTTCTTTTTTTTTTTCCTTTTTTTCTTTCAGAGAAACGCTCCCCGAAGTGCGACGACCTTCGCGCTGCGAAGAACTAGGATAAACCAGCGGTCTGCATGTCTCTTTGAACGTATGGAGTAAGTTAATCCGGCTGCATATCATGTTTGCAGCCCCTTTAAACGATACTGATACGCCTTAGTCGCATGTCCCAGACATGTTTCTTCATCTCTTCGCTTAGGAATTCTGATCGCGCGAACTCGTCCCGTCCAGGGAAGTGCGAACGAGGGATTTTAGAACGTTTTATTGTAGAAACGTGAGTTCCAGTCTACTTCGAGTTTTACTATTGATTCACAACAACAAGCAGATGTACAGGGCGCGTTCTCGGTTTTTAATGACAAACGAGAATTTTCTAGAAACGAAGAGATGGTTGTGCAACGACATTAGGAAGCATGGTATCCAGCAATTTCGAATTAACCAACATCCAGGGGTGGAACGCAGCTGGAAATAGGCCAGTAGACCGCGGGCAGATGCTCTCGCCGAAGCTATTTCTCCGTGCACGCAGGTGTTTCTACGACTGTCGGCCAACTTCCACCCTTCCATCGGACATGGACGCATCCCCCTTCGTCGACTTGGTGATTCCACCCTTGCTAGATGCTATAATTTCTCTCGCGTATCGCTTTGGAAGGGGAGGTCGCGAGATTAGAATTGAATTTGGAACACTGGAACGTTCGTTACGTTCGTTTTATTCGTAAAATTGTTCTGAAAAAAGTAAATTTTCACAGGTTTCACCGACTCGAAGAGCCAGAGTGTCTGATTATATTGTGAGTGAGTTATGATTTAAAAAAAGAAAAGAAAAGAAGAAAAAATATGGGATTTTTACTTTACAAAAAATAGGTAGACGATGAAGAATGTTACACGTTCTGTTCTCTGTGGGAAGAATAGAGAAGCGGATTCGCGAGAAGAATTCTTTGGACGGTGGACCAATAGCCACCCCATGCAGATGGTCTCCCCCGTAAAAAGCGGCTCTACCATCGCGTTCCAACCGTGATATCGATCCAAGTTCCTATCTCACCCTCGATCGAATTGCGTTCCGAAAATTTCTTTCATACCGTATATATTCTCCCTTCTAATTACTATTCTCCAGGATTATTAACAGATTAATGATCGGGCTTGCTTCCGCGACAAGTGGTGGAGGCAAGTCGTCTCCCGGAGGCGGCTCCATTTGTTGCTCTTGTTGTACAGAGATCGACTAGCTTTTCTATTCGGTTCGCGGCATATTACTGTTTGTTTATTTTAAGTCCCAGGCGTATCTTGTTTCGGAGCCAGACCCAGCTGACCGCAACCTGGCATCGTTTTCTCGTTTTATTCTCTTGCGTTACGCGTCAGCCTGGTGTCGGTGGCGCGAATTAAGCGAGAAAAATCGATGCCGTGAAGCGGATGCACGCAGTTTCCAGAACGATCGGCTCGATTTTTTTTCTTCCCTTTCTCTCTCTCTCTCTCTCTTTCTTTGGACAATTGAACAAACGTTCAACGTCCTCAGGTCTTCTCGATCCGTCGAGGCCATCTTCGTCTTTCCATGTAAGTACAATTTTTGGAAAATTCTTTTCTAAATTACTATAAAACTTAATCGAGGGTTTTTTTCTCCCTTTGTTTTCAGGCGCAAGGTTTGCAGAAATTGTTTTCGTTCTATTGGAAAGTGAATTTGCCGGACTGGGGGGGATCAGTTTTCGAAACTTGAAGGAATTTCTATGTACGCAACAGGTTGGGCTAAAAATAATCAATGCGATGAATAATTGGAATTAACGAGCGGGGACGATGATCGATGGTTTTGCAAAAACACGACGCGACAATAGAATTTCAAATGCATCTGGACGCATAACGTTGCTAGCCTTGCATCGAAATCCCCGAGCCACCCCCAACGCGCAGGAAAAAAGCGATGCAGCTCCGCTCGCGGATATCTTCCCAGCGAAATATTCGACGCGCAGAATGCAATATTCGACAGAAAAAGGATCGGACGTCTTTCATAGTAATTCAAGGTAAAAAAAAAAAGGCGAGGCACTCGTTTGCGAGAAGTAATTGTTAATCCAGCTAAAGACAACTTCAGCTTTCAGCCTCTGTAATTTGCAATTTTTGTTAGTATGAATTCCAGAAGTAAGAACAGTAAAAGAAAAAAAAAAAGAAGGAGAAAAAACACGAAAGAATCGTCGCAAAACGTAGGAATCAAGGGAGATTATCACACTTTGTGATAATTCGTTAAATCTTACAAGTCCGAGAAACGTGAAACTGAAGTTTACCAGTTTACCGAAGCTGTCGATATCCCAGAAGGATGCTGGTTGTTCTTGTCAGACGCTTGAGAGAAGAAGAGCGCGAGGGACATCCGCTATTCACCACTGTAAACACCAGCACATGCACTGAGGAGGTTCCAGCCCTCCGAGTATATCGATATCAATTTGCAAAATCGAGTGACCGAACGCGGGATCATCGGCGATCGCGCACTGGAGGTAGCCCGCGGACGAGTTGACGCCGACGCATTTGACGGAGGCCGTCAATGCTAACCCCCCTTCCTCCCTTTCCTTCCCACCGTGGCCTGTGTGGAACTGTAGATCCCGGAAACGCTTGGAAGGAAAAGCGCGGAAGGGCGCGGAGAAATTCGCGAATGGAAGTGAAACGAAGTTGGA